GGTAAAGAATGACCCGGACTTCGTGATTTCTCCAGGGTTATAGACCTCCCTATAATGCTGACGAGTTAGCAAGTACTAGCGCGCGCGACCCGTCGAAGCAAGAAAGTTGCACAGGCTTCCAAAAATATGTAACGAAAGGGACTCGCTGTATACGGCGTTGTACGCATTATACAACACAAAGTTAGTGTTATACGCTAATTATGCTAATAAGTGTTTCCGTTCCATACGAATGCAATGAAACTAACATCGGTTGTCACTTCGATTGTCACTATAGAAATATGAAATAATGGGCAATTAGGCAGCTTTTAAATCAGAACAAGGCTAAGAATAATTTGTTGAGAATGTCTAACAATGTATTTGCTATTAATGAAAGGGTTTGAAATTGATTGAGACAAGTTTTGGATCGATTGACACTTTTCGACATAAATAAATCTGATATATCATAGTGATATTTCTAGAGTTGAGTGTCAATCGATACATTTTATACAATTTATATACTTTGTGATTAAGTAGAACCAGTAATATATCAATATGCGCTTCCTAAACACTTCTGCTTAGTACTTAATATTCTGAAAATTATTATCCCGCGACAATTGAAAGTTATATCAATGAAAATGCTATGCGTTTGAAAGTGACAACCGAGTGACAATCGAGCACGTGTTACAACCATTTTATATTACATAAATATTTTCATGTCAAATATGCACAATCTTTAAGTGGTTTTCGATAACTTACCCTTGCATTTTATTCAACAATAACCTAGGTTCATAATTAACCAGATAGATGTGTTTTATCCCTTGCATATAGAGCAGGTTTAATCTCTCAGCATACGTCCCTCCCCACATATCACATCTTTTTATAAGCTCATTTATAATATACTGTTCCGTCTGCTGGATTATGTTACATTTCAAATATATTAACCACAACAAGCGCAGTATAAAAGCATTATATATGCCAGTGCAATTCAGTAAATATGTTCAACTAAATGCTAATTATGCGATATTCGCAGAACTGATATTCTAAAACATTCGGTAATTCAAAGAGGTTAAATATGCTTTTCATTGCCTTTCAGACTGTCTGGGCCCCATATGCCGTAACAACATTGTACATCTCAAAAGTACAGGGAATAGAATGCTCTGTGAACGAAGTATTTCAGCTCCATTTCGTTCACAGAACATCTAATGACATTATAGAACAATTAAGTTTCATTAAAATTCTCAAAGTAAATAATTAGCAGAGTATGAATATAATTTGTTATATCATAATGCATTCTTAATCACAAAGGATTTATACGTTGTTTGCTTCTACAAATTTTGGCAGAGCACTAGTAGGTTATTTGAGAGGTAATAGTCCGTCAATAAAGATAGGTATCGCAAATGTTTTACGCTAGATATGTCACACATACTGTTAATTTATAGCATAGTAATATAACATCCGGTTACTTTCGCATGCGGGTAAGGCCTGAGTCAACTGCTAATTCGGGTACTCCGAAGGTAAAGAACGTTTGATTTTTATCACCAATAGTGAATGTGACATTTCACATCTTTCTAGAGCAGAATTTGCAGATATAATTGTCGACGCATGGGTACGAAGGAGCACTCAGTGGGTGGGAATTTCGGAGGCTAATGGAAAGGGCGGTATCATATAGTATATATAGTCACTTCCACATGGCTAAAAAGTTGTCCACAAGATTACTATTCAGCGTATTCGTACGTGGTAAAGAATGACCCGGACTTCGTGATTTCTCCAGGGTTATAGACCTCCCTATAATGCTGACGAGTTAGCAAGTACTAGCCCGCGACCCGTCGAAGCAAGAAATTGCACAGGCTTCCAAAAATATGTAACGAAAGGGACTCGCTGTATACGGCGTTGTAGGCATTATACAATACAAAGTTAGTGTTATACGCTAATTAGGCTAATAAGTGTTTCCGGTCCAGACGAATGCAATGAAACTAACATCGGTTGTCACTTTGATTGTCACTATAGAAATATGAAATAATGGGCAACTAGGCAGCTTTTAAATCAGAACAAGGCTAAGAATAATTTGTTGAGAATGTCTAACAATGTATTTGCTATTAATGAAAGGGTTTGAAATTGATTGAGCCAAGTTTTGGATCGATTGACACTTTTCGACATAAATAAATCTGATATATCATAGTGATATTTCTAGAGTTGAGTGTCAATCGATACATTTTATACAATTTATATACTTTGTGATTAAGTAGAACCAGTAATATATCAATATGCGCTTCCTAAACACTTCTGCTTAGTACTTAATATTCTGAAAATTATTATCCCGCGACAATTGAAAGTTATATCAATGAAAATGCTATGCGTTTCAAAGTGACAACCGAGTGACAATCGAGCACGTGTTAAAACCATTTTATATTACATAAATATTTTCATGTCAAATATGCACAATCTTTAAGTGGTTTTCGATAACTTACCCTTGCATTTTATTCAGCAATAACCTAGGTTGATAATTAACCAGATAGATGTGTTTTATCCCTTGCATATAGAGCAGGTTTAATCTCTCAGCATACGTCCCTCCCCACATATCACATCTTTTTATAAGCTCATTTATAATATACTGTTCCGTCTGCTGGATTATGTTACATTTCAAATATATTAACCACAACAAGCGCAGTATAAAAGCATTATATATGCCAGTGCAATTCAGTAAATATGTTCAACTAAATGCTATACGATTTTCGCAAAACTGATATTCTAAATCATTCGGTAATTCAAAGAGGTTAAATATGCTTTTCATTGCCTTTCAGACAATCAGTTTCAAAAGTCTTGGGACAGATGCCACAAAAACTTTGAATATCAACAAACTACAATCCCACCCGCCCCCTGTTCAATGTTGTGTCCCATTTCTTGTCGGGTTTGATGTGTTTTGGTTTAAACAACATTGGTTGGAGTGGAGGGAGGGGGAGGGCAGCGGTACTATGTGTAAAAAACTATAATGATCCACCTACAAGCCAAAACTACATGTGTCCCAACAACTTCTGAAAGTGATTGTACATTATCCATGACAAACCGCAAAGAATCATATTACCTATACTCTTTCCTGCAATATATAGTTAATTAAATACGCCTTCGCCCATTTAGTTCTACTAAATTGTAAGCAAATTGTAAATTTCGACATACTAAAACTCTATTAACAACTCGAACTGACTTGACCACGTAGCTCAGTTGGCAGAACATTGGACTAGCATCCCAAAGGTCGCGGTTTCGACTCCCACCGTGGCCAAGCAAACTTTTCAGCTTGCCCGCTGTGGATGCATACTCAGAGTAACGTCACAAATATCATACTAAAACTCCGATTTCTGACCATCAGAATTCTGTCAAAACTTACCCAATGTCCAGGAAATAGCATTTCAGAGAATTTAAATTTAAAAATTTCCTCGGGCCTTCGGTCCTCGTTTCCAGACCCCAATAAAAAAGAGCTTCCTACGGAACTGCATGCTTCTGTAATATGTCTTTGCGTAAACTATGTGTATTTTTGTTTGTAAATTGCATCTTCATTTTCCGGATAGCAAACACCTTCGTGGCTTTGTATGTCAAGAAATATTCGGGAAGTTTCTTCGTCATTCGGAAGTTTTTGGCCTACACCCCCCCCCCAACTATACATGCTAGCTGCGGCCCTGCTTTCTTTCATTTCCTGAAAAGCTATATTGCTTCATTGCTTCGCTTCTTCTATCAACGGTATCCAAGGGTCCATTTCTTCCTTAGTTTCTGATTCATTATCAGTCGTCATCGAAATTTCAGACCCATGAGTTGAAGTTGTCGAGACATCGTCTTGGAAATCCGTTTCCTGGCTATCCGAGTCTGTTTGAGACATGTTTCTTTCTTGTGCACGTAGGGGAAATTACTCTTTTTTGCCTCTACGTATATTGTAACCGCGGTTTATTTAAATTACTGTTGGCCGCTGTTGAACCATTGTTTGTAAAACAACGTCAGAGCAACGTAGATATTAGGTTGTCGACGTCGTAACCTTTTTTCTACCAAATTTCAACGTTGAAACAACGTCGTGTGCCCGGTGGGTAGCGCAGTTCATAACGCAGCCAGTAGTCAAATTTCATACGTTTCATATTACACGATGCTCACTAACGATTCTCGGTCTAAAACGTTGATTTGCGTTACTATAAATTTTACTTATCTTACAATTTATATGCATATGGGTACAAGAAACCATTTTCCTTAATTACAATCGGTTAACTTTGCAGATATCCCTTTTAAAGTTCGTTTTTGAACGAAGCTCACTACAAAACTGTAAATAAATCTATATGTCATTGGCTATTTTATGACAGAAAGTAAGAATGGTTGCTAGAAAATCATTCGTATCTTAGTCAGTTCGTTACGAAAACTTGTAAAATCGTCCTTGTAAAATATGTTGGACTTTAGATGCCTAGGGTGAATTTGTTTGATATTGTCTGCTATTAAGGCTTTTATGACGTGTGAGCCCATGAAAATATGGTGAGATTCGTGGTGAGATTCGTTTCTGTATTGATCTGATTGTCACATATAGCGCTTAGTTTACTAACAAGATGGCTCAGTTGTCAATTTTCTTTAAATAGAGTTCCAATACTGTTACCATGCATGGAATTCAATGAATTGTGACTAAAATGTAGCACTCACAAGCCTTTAAATCTGATTTTAAATATACGCGATGTTTCAGCCGCATTTTAGCTATTTCCTAACACACGCATACACAAAAATTGTATAACACAGCACACGAAAATTATCCGTGTGCAACGAAATTAAAGTTAAATTTAAGAGTAATGATATTACTTCAACAGACTGTAGTTAGGGTGTGAGTTAAGTTCTCAGATTTGTACAATGACTACAGTTAATCCCTTTTTATTAATTTCGTCATCATTAATTTTGCTCGGATCCTGCATTAATTACTAATGAATTCTTATTTCGCGATGTCACACGGTGTTGTGAACATAAATATTACTTGCTGTAATTACATTTAATCTCTTTTGTTATAGCTAAGTCGGACCTACAGATTAGATTGGCAAATACAAAGAGCAACGAAACAGGGAGAGTTGAAATATTTCATCCTTCCTTTGGCTGGGGAACTGTCTGTGATCGCGGATGGGATGATACCGACAGTCGCGTTGTCTGTCGTCAGTTGGGTTTCAGTGGAGTGAGCGGGACAAGGAAGGGAGCTTACTATGGTCGTGGAACTGGTTCAATATTGCTTGACGATGTGAAGTGCACTGGCAACGAATCATTCATTTGGGATTGTAGTCACCGTGGGTGGAATGTAGAAACTGTCGCCATGGGCAAGATGTTGGTGTCAACTGTAACCGTAATTGCATTATTTTTTTCTATATCATCTTCCTTATGTCAATGCTATGAAATTTTATTGACCCCCAGAAACACTTCTTATAAATGTTTAACCCCCCCCCCTTTTACACCGATAGAAAATAGTTGACCCTCCCATTATTTTACCAGCCCCCCCCCCCTCAACCATAAATAATGAAACTTCCCTTAGCTGGCTGGTTACCCGGATGCCTCATCTTCTCTTGAAAAGTTGATAGCTTAAAATGTAAAGTTATATTGTTCGAAACTTATCGTCTTCACAGACGTAGCACTAGTTAACGTCGAATGGTCAAGTTCTTGGATATTTTAGTCTTCGCGAAAATTTACATGCAAATCATGACTCCTGTATGTTGGTACACGATCAATTTGTAATATAACCCTAAGCGCTAGCTGCAGAACACGGTAATAACCAATATTGAACCGAGACCCGTAGCTTTCAAAGTAAATAGTTCAAAGGTATGTTAGGCCTTCCCTAGTAATTTACTAGTCAATCTTTATTGACATCGTGACGGAAATAGCTGTGCTATATGATTGTCATGCATAGATCAGCTAGCGTGACTTACTATAGTCGCGTTGTATTAGGACTGCGTGTTATTACGATAGGGCCATAATGAAAACGAGTCGTGCGGCCGGAAGTATAACCCCACGAATATTTGCACACAAGTGATGCGGGAACAGGAAAGCGGGGTTTTCTCGCGATTTTTCATATGTGTCATATTTGTCCGCATAATGCAAAAAGGCGCAAAAAATAAACCATTGAATAATAATGAGCTTTAATTAACATCAATCTTGAGCTAAAAATACCACAAATTTACAAAAAAGATTAAAATCTATATACAACAGTATCAAATTACTTATGCATGAATAAAATTGAATATACAATAGCAAAAGTCAGTAAAATTTATCAGTAAGATGGTTATAATTTGAGTCAATTTATTTAAAACATGCCCCCAGTTCTAGGAATAAATTAAAGTTCAAGACTTTTGTAGTTTTGTTACGGGAGAAAGAATATGGTCTGATCCTACCAGTTCCAAGATCACGTTGGTTGGTTTTTATAATTAATAGAAACGCGTTTATTACAAGGATGTGTTACATCTTTAAGGATTTTTTCATATTCTGTAAAAGTAAAATGTTCAATTAGAATTGGTACATTATCAATTCCTGTTACTTTACAAGTTTGAAGAGCCAAAAGCTTTTGACAGACCTCGTAAGGTTGGACGGATAAAAAGGCGTCGTTAGCCGGTAAGAACGCGGGCAGTGAAATTGCATCAAATGTCGGAATATCCGCGTTGACAGAGACGGAAAATTCATTAAGGGCACTTGCTAGTTGCTAGTTGTTCGTCGTTCAGAGTTTCCCCGTTGCGTTCTAAAGAGAAAGATTTTGTTTTCTCAGGTTTACTGGACATTTTATTGACCATTTTCCACCATCTACGACTGTCAGTGTTTCTTAGGTGCTGAACTTTGTTCTTATAAAAAGACTTTTTCCTTTCCGTTATTTCGTATTGGTCCTTGCGTTTTAATCTGAGCCAAAGGGGAATGTTTCTGCCATGGAACCGTAGCTTTCAAGGTAGATTGTTCAGATAGAAGTGTACGAACTGCTAGGCGAGCCTCTATCCGCATTTTTGTAAATATAAATTCGCATTGAGACAGCACCCAGGTTAAGGAACTCCAACCTCGTTCCCATGGTCTCTCCTTCTGTCATCTGGGAGAGACCCTGGCTGCGGCTGGTCACGTGCCTCCCAGATTCTGGGAGGTAAATTTAATTGTAACTGTGATTTAATTTAATCGCCAACAGTATCCAAATTTTTTATCTATATAAAGCCATTAAAGGCCTTATAAAAAAAAACTTAAAGCCCGTCAAAAGATCTAGACTATAAAATTGGCCCTTGGCATTGCTGAAACGAACGATCATGGTATATGTCAAAGTATAGCTGTCTGTTGAAAATCTACGGTATTAAAATCATACACGGCCAGAGGTAAGTGCTGTGGTCAAACGACAAATTATATGTCGCTATATTATACATGTCTTTCAATGAGCACTGTTTAGTAGTGTTCACCACCTTTATAAATTTTGTAAACAGCTTTCGTTTTGACATGAATAAGCTTTTATTTTTTGCTTATATGCATTCTTAATAATACAAGTGGGATTTAAATTTTTGCTTTGTGAAATAGAATACCGTTATCTTTTAATGGACAGCTTGCATCGCCCGAGGGCATCGCCTATATCATATCCAGGATTGCTTGTGTGTGAACGCATTATTCACTATATGACACTATCAAATAAATATAAGTAGCAAATGATTAATGAATTAGAGATAAAAAGGTGATTCACAATGAAAACTTTAAAAATGTTAGTAGAAGTAGAAAACTCGAAAATTTACGTCTATTCCTATGACGCCAATGATGGTCTGTGCGCATCGAGCTGAGTGATCTGACACTGTAAATTTGTTATAATTTGTAATATGTTAACACAATATAATCATTAATAGAGACCAAGAAAAAGGCTAAAGTCTTACTATAATTGACCGAAAAATCCAGATAAATCAATGACTGAAATTTCCTCTATGCTTATGGACATTTCTCTGTTCGGCTATTATCAAATGTTTACATTTGCTAATATTGGGCTAGTCCTAGACAATACTGTTTCTTTTAAAAATCTTATAAACAAGACGCGTAGTAACAAATGAATCTGTGCAAAGCGTATCAACGTTTACAAAAAAGGACGAATGTAATGGCGTATTTTAAAAACATTACAATAAACCGCGTTTGTTATAACCGCTCTCGAGTGTGAAGAGAGCATGCATTGAATAACAACACGAGAGAGCACTGCGAGTAACGATTTGCTTGGTTTCTTGACTTGACTGTAAGTAAGAATGTAAGAATGTTCTTGTAAATTCAAAGCAAAGAAAATAAACAAAAATTAGCAAGTATTTTGAACGTAATAATTCGCAAAATTTATGTTTTTAACGAATATCCCATTGGAAGCATGCTGATGTAATTTGATACTTTTCCCACACCCCCTCGGGCGCTAAATTTTTGATGAGGCACGTGACCAGCCGCAGCCAGGGTCTTTCCCAAAGAAAGATTCTGGGTACGAGGTTGAAGGAACGCCTACCTTTGTAATAGTGCATTGTGTGTTTTACTATAGCTAATTGCCGCCGAGCGAAGCGGGCAGCACACTATTCTTGACATGTTATGGTTTCTCCAGAGTCCACTCGACCCAGTCAGAGATCTCGATTTTGTGTCTGTCCTTGTCTGTCCGGATTTCGGATTTCCGGGGCGGTAGTCAAAGCTTCAGGACGTTTTTTATACGAAGGGGGCGATCAAACTTTATTTTGCATTGCGCAGGCATGACTTTTCTCGGGATTAGCTTTTATTTACAAGAAGTTTGTTCACTTTGTTTGATCTTCAGTTTTTTCCCGAACAAATCAGGTAAGGATGGTTTTATATCTTCCCGGATATCTTTTAGGCGAGCTTTCAGGTGATATACATGAAGGCATTTTGTATATTTACATATGCTGTTTTGAATATTGGTATACTATGGTATAGAAGTATTGAACAATATGAATTCATAAACTTATATATGGTCATTTATCTTCGGTTGTCTTGATCTATTCGTCAATAATGTCCTATTTATACAATGTGTCAATATTCATTTCAGTTCATTTGTTTGTGTGGCGATGTGCCAAGGCCAATGCGTTGACACGGCCACACGTCCTCAGCAATTTGCGGCTCATTTTTAAATCAGTATTTAAATTAAATAATTGTTTTTGATTGATCGATTGATTGATGAGTTTATAGTGTTCATTCTACATGTATACACGTCTTTATAGCGTCCCAGTATGGATTGTTGACGTTTTGTACTTGTGTGCACATATTATAAACTATAAATACCAGCAGTTTATATGCATGAGTCAATTCCAGGAGTAACCATCCCCTCTCCCTGAACACACCAAGGAATTTTATTTGACTGGTTGCGATAATGCAAATGCCCGGATGCAGGAACACAACTAGGAGACTAATACACAGCCCTTTGGGCAAGCTGAGAGTGGAAAATTTTAATGGCATATCATAGGCATAGTCATTTAATAACATACTATTGAACTGCCTATGGAATACTATAAAACTTTAATCTTTCTAAGAGTGGTTAAAAGGTTTTAAACAACGAAGTCATAAATCTTTAATAGTTGTATTTAAATTTCCATGGCACAGCAAATAATTTTCGCAAAAGTGGAACCATTTGTTAAATCCCGTGGTCTCAGCTACTTTAACAATACCCTGCCCCGGTGCACATATATGACAGGCAAATTCCTGACCCCTGTAAACTGTCTATCACACAAATGCTTGAGAGTGTTCCGGGGGGGGGGGATGGTTACTTCAGGAATTGACTCATGCATTACATGCCAATTCACCAGTAAAAGTAAAGCCCATTCGAGAATATAAGTGAGGATTGGCTTTGAATAGTGTACCACTGAAAACAGAAATATGCCCCCACGATATTGGACAAAATATGGCAAAAGACAAAATATGCCACACCTCCCAAGGGAAAATTGTATAAGTCGTGTAAGTGAATGTATCTTTTAATTAAATTAATATCAAACATATGAAAATAGTGTAATTAGTGAATTATAACAAATTTATAAGATACTTCTCCATTTTGTGCAAGCACGCCATCTTGACCCTTGTCACATGGTATAAAATGGTAGAATCTGGGGGTTCCATTGGACAAAATAGTGCAAAATGGCTGTCGACAATCCTCTAACAACCCCTACTATCTTTCATGTTCGGCAGAATGACAAAACCAACAAATTCCCAATATGGGGTT